TGAATAAAACCATTGGCATTTTTCCAAAGGGTGCTTCAGATCTAAAAAGGTGAGAATCACTGCCATAGTGGAATAATCAGACAGCACACAATGTCCATGAAAATGGGCCTCTCTCAATGTGGTAATAAAATTTCTATTTAACACTTGCCACTTTAGATAAAGCGGCATGGGAAGAATCCACCAAATGTGAATAAATTATGATCATCACACTATAATAAAACGTGTCATACAAACTGTTGCAAGATCTCAAGGAGCTAATGGAAAAACACTACAGCACATCTAGGTACAGTATCATAATTTTCTCTTAAATTGACTTAGCCATTGTGACAGCATTATTGGCTAGTCTGCCAACATCCATCCACTTTTAAGTCTAAATTATTACTGATGGAAATGTATATGCTGGTCTGTTTAAGCTACATTAATCATAATCTAAAACATCACCACCCTGCTGTCCAGAACCATTATAAGATAAAAGTACATGAAGAACACTACTTAATATAATTAAATATGAAAAATAAATAAATAAAAAATCAACACCAACATAACTACTTTATATTACTTTGGGCTTCACAATGAAATCTGCATGTCAGGCTTGTAGCCTTGAACTCAGAAGCTTTGACATGGTCAGCATGACCATCTATCCCAACCCACTATGCTGCTGCCATTGCTGGAGGCTGTATGATGCCTGCCCTAAGGCTCTGTTAGTGCCTGAGTCCCCATACAGTCCCTAATATGTCAGTGGCTGGCTCCCATCACCTCACCTTCCACTTCTCCTATGTAAGTCCAGGAAGAGGAACAAGAAGTGTCTGGGAAACCTGACCTAAGACTGTACTGGAAACTCTGCTTGCTTCTTGGACTCCTTGGTTTCCTGTTTCTGCTTGCCCTTTCCAACTCTGGTGTGTACCCCAACCCAGTAATCTTGATTCCTGATTGGCCCCTAGGCCTGGCTGCCCATGTCCCAGCATTGACACTTGATAGCTTGACATTAAATGTTCAAAGGGGTTTTTAAAGAGTGCATCTAAGGCCCCGAGTAGATATTAATGTAATCATGCAATTAATATATGAGGAATTTTATTTCGGATCTCAAAGATGGTCAGATCTGACACAGCAGGACGCATGGTTTTTGGAACCTGGAATAAAATTCCTTAAATCCCAATGCCTATCTGCCAATGCTCAGGAGACCCAGTGCTGGGGAGAGGCTCCTCCATGCTTGGCTGTGTGGTGCACCTTTAATCTGGGTTGTGAATGAAGAGCTTGGGATCATCAAGCATCCCAGAACCAGGAAACCTGTCCATGATGCTGAGCTTCCTGTGTGCCCTTTAAACTAGGGGAGCCTGGGATCAAGGAACAGCTCCAAAGTCCTGGGTTCCTCATGTGTCTGGACCTTTAAAGGCTGGAAGCCTGTCCTGATTCCCTGGCTGCCCACATCCCCTTTAAAGTTGCCACTGCATAAGAAGCTTGGGACTGGGGAGATGCTCCTTGGTCCTAGACTGCCCCTGAACCTGGAGCTTTATTGGGCTGCCCTGGCAGTGCCGTTGCCATTGCTACCAAGCAGCAATGGGGATAGGGCAGACTGCAAGAGAGGGAGAGCAGCTTTGGAGGTGGAGAGGTGGATCAGGGTAGAACATGTACCCACCTTGTTTTCAAAATAAAGAAAAATATAAACAAGCCACAAAGAGTTCCACACTTAAGAAGTAATATATTTGTGGTTGAATTGCCATTTTATCACATGATAAATTTCAGAGGAGGATTAAGGATTTTGGGGGCCCTAGGCAAGGAGAAAATTGGAGGCCCCCTCCCCACTGCAAGAGCTCTCCAAGCTGGCCTGGCCCCTCCCTGCAGCACTGGACACAAACTGCCAGGAGACAAAAATGGCACCAAGTTTAAAACCACGGCTTTCACTTCCCTGGTGATGAGGATCTTGGAGGTTCCCGATTGGTAGTGGCCCCTGGGCTGGGGCCCAGCTGGCCCGTCCATTAGGGACATTGAATTGATTTCGCAGTCATTTGTTATTTCTTTGAGCTCTGCCTCGCAAATCTGAGTCAAATTCTCCTTTGAAATGGAGTTTTGTTGGTTTAAAAAAAATTAAAACCCCCTACAAAACTGCGGTACAAACTGCTGGCATAAGCTTATGCTGAATGTAAAAATGATGGTTATGGGTGAGAAAGGAAGAAAGAAAATGAAGCCCCCAGACTTCTGGCTGTCATACTTTCTTTTATACTATGCATTTATTCTATATAAAATTACAAACTAATTTCTTTACTCAACTATGTAACATCCCATTGTTAAAAAGACACGCGAGCCAACCAAGCAGAGTCTATGCTAAAACTGTATCATATTACAATGAGAAAAGAATTCTCAAGCCAAACTTCATACTACACTAGTTTTGTATCTGCCTAATATTTACATAAAATGTTTCAGGGGGATATTTTCCTTGTCATTATGGTTACAGAAACAATGCTATCTTTTGATTGAGCAAAAGATATAAAAGGACATTATAAAAAACTTACTGATTTGGCAAAAGCTAACCTGAATGTACAGGTATAACCAAGTTCTATCATCATCAAGGACTGGAATATATGTAATATTTCTTGTGATTAATAATAAGCATTCGGTTCTGTTAGTTATGTTTCCTACTAAGAAGCTAGAGCCACATTGTGAATAAATAGTCAGTGGGCACATCTACACAAGACATTTACTATGGAGTTCCCTAATTAGCTTCCTAGTAAAAAGCCAGCTTCCTACAGCAGAGTTTGCTTGGGTTTTTTTAGGAAATTTTTTCATGTCCCAGGACAACTCAACCAAATCAATTCCAAATCCACGTGAATCATTCAAGAACCACATGTGGCCCTGATACCAGCAAGCATCCTCCACCCTCACCTGGGGCTTCAAATACTTCCAAATCCTTTGGCGGGCATCCTACATGCAGGCCCAAGCCCGGAGGCTTGGGGTTTTGATGCCCCTGAGTTTCGCTTGCCCTCAGCCGTATGGCCACAGGAGCAAACTAAGGAGGAGTCTCCCATTTCCATAAAGTCAGTATTTACTCAGTCGTAACACATGTGTAGATGCTGACAGGGCTGAATGGGGTACAAGAATGCTTCAGTGCAGGGGTTACCCATTTGGTAGCCCTGCAGTGAAGCAGCCTCATGCCCCAGCCAGCCCCTATGCAGCAAGTTGAGCTGAGTCAGAGCAGCCCTGGGCTAGCAGGCTGACCCCTGGGATTCCCTGCAAGCCGGGGCTGCTCTCTCCCAGCTCAACATGCTGTGGTCCCAGGTGCACATGTACAATAAGCTCCAGTGCAAACTGTGCCAGAGTTCATTCAGGCATGCTAAGTGCACACGTAGATATGCCCAGCGGTGTTTTAGTACTGTCATTATAATAACTATACTTAGTCTCAGGTGATATTTCATAGAATCATAGAAGTAGGGTCGGAAGGGACCTTGTAGATCTTCAAGTCCGACCCCCTGCCTGGGCAGGAGAGAAA